TTCCTCCCTGACTTTAAGCTGATGATACCCTGATCTTAAACCGATCTTGTAGAATAGCTTGCCCCCACCAATTGATCAAACATGTCATCAATCCTTGGCAAAGGATATTTATTCTTGATTGTCAACTTGTTTAATTCTCGGTAATCTATACACATCCGCATAGATCCGTCTTTCTTCCTAACAAGTAGAACCGGAGCACCCCACGGTGAAGTACTGGGTCGAATGAATCCTTTATCATACAGATCCTTTAAATGAGTAACCAGTTCTTTCAATTCATGGAGCCAACCGTATGGCGCTTTGGCTACTGGTGCTGCCCCAAATATGAGATTAATTCTGAATTCAATAACTCTGTTTGGCGGTAAGCCAGACAAGTCTTCTAGAAATACTTCTGGGTATTCGTTAACAATTGAAATCAATTCCTTATTTTCTTTCTCTTTCTTTGCATCAATAACATATGCAAAACATCCTTGACACTTCTTTTGAATACATTTCCGGGCTTTCAATACAGACAAAAGGCTAGTGTGATGATTCTGGCGATCACCATAGATAACAACTGACCCTCTGTCTAGAAAAATGATTCTATTCATTTTCTTTTTACAGACAATACTAGCCTGATGTTCTGCCAACCAATCCATACCTACTACTACATCAAACTCTTTCATCGGCATTGGAAACAACCGAAATGGTAGCTCACACCCCTCAATAACAGTAACGCAGTTATTGAATACACTAGTAACAAATTCTTGACTATTAGTAGTGTCGACTACTAATTCATCATCAAGTAGCACAGAATTCAAACATGCAGATTGAGCAAATGATGGTGATACAAACGAAAAGTTTGCACTAGAATCAAACAACACTTTAGCATGTATAGAATTCGGAAGGAAGGTACCTGTTACTACATCTGGCGCGACCTCTGCCTCATTCTTTGTCATTTGGAAGGACCAACCTCGTGCCCCTCCCTGCCCTCCTTCGGATACGTTGGGTCTTCCCCGAGTACCCGATACATTACTTCCCATAGTCAACTGCGGAGTTCTCAACAACGGACAGTTGGGTCGAATATGCTTCGGGGAATTGCAATTAAAACATCTTCTGTTGGTTGGGCAACTTCTTGACAAATGACCTGCCTCGCCACATTTATAACATTTTCTCGAGTCTGTTTTACAATCTGTAATAACCAGGTCTTGATTATCACCAGAGGTAATTAATATATGATTATTTGATATATGGTTACGTGAATGCATGATAAATTGTTACATTTGTAACACCCCCAAACACCACATTTGCATATAACACATATTTCATTACATAGAAATATAGTTTACATCATAAGGTCCCACTAATACAAGGATTCCTATATGTACAAAATCTACATATAAAAATTTCCAAAACAAATCATGTACTTAATACATGTAATACAACATGTATCTTCAAAATAAGCAATCTTAAGCAGATTCTCAAAAGCAGATAACAAGTTAGGAAAATAATCACATTTTCCCTTTCCCTTTAATATCCCTGGACCCCGCCATTCTTGCGTTGCATAATTTTAAAACAGAAAATGAGGGTTAGACAAGAAGGGTCTAGTGAGTAAATCCCTTCCTTGCAAATGCAGGGTGATGAACACCAAAATATAACAAAGTAACTTTACTCATAAATTTTTGCAATACAATTAAATTATACAGTTCTCAGTGACATGTATAAAAAAGATAAACTCAAGAACCTCAGTTCTATTAATAAAATACATCTGCTTAAAGATCCAACGTTCCCAATATAAAACAAATATTGTATCCAAAGCTTCTTTGAATCAATAGACCATTCCTTTGTAAATATTAACGGAAAGATTTAAGGCAATACTTGCCTTTTTATGACAAACTATTTTCCCATTCTCAATAACATCTAAATTATTATTTCTAATAGGAATAATATCTCTAAATCATCAGGTCAGAAAGAAATGATGATTTAAAGTTATTAAATCCAATTAATAACAATAATAAGAGTTATAATATTATCCACATATGACAATGTCTCCTTTATTCCATGTACACCTCTCCTTGATATGCCACCCTTATTCTTTCATCAAAACAGGGCTACTTATCAGAACAGACTAAAGTCACCACGTCTGAAAGTACCCATTCTCAGTTCCAGCCAGAACAGACAAAAGTCACCACGTCTGGGGGAACTACCACTGAAAACAAGTTTCATACCAAAACAGACTTATGTCACCACGCTTGGTAGAACAGTTTACAAAAATCCAATTTCATACCAAAACAGACTTATGTCACCACGCTTGGTAGAAACAATTTACAAAGTCCACTTCCATACCAAAACAGACTTATGTCACCACGCTTGGTAGGAAGGTTTCCAAAAATATAGTTTCATACCAAAATAGACTTACGTCACCACGTTTGGTAGAAACATTTTCTCAAATCCAGTTCCATACCAAAACAGACTTACGTCACCACGCTTGGTAGGAACATATCTTTTTATTTAAAAAGATATAAAATACCCTTTTTATAAACCCATAATTAAACCCAACAATAAACATTTTTTTTAAATTATATAAATGTATAAAATATTCAATATTTTAAGATTATCAAATATAGGTCACCCGGATAAGTTATCTGGATATATAATCCGGACAACACTAACTCATCTTGTCCGATATACTAATTCGGACAACACTTGGTCGATGTAAGACTAAATCGCATGACTCATGTCCGGTTTAAGACAATCCGGACAACACATGATCGGTTTAAGACTAAACTGCTCAATACGTGATTGTTTTATAACTAATCCGTACAACCCTTAGGCGATTTTAAGGCTAAATCGCACAATACTTGCTTGTATTCATACTTCTCCGTTCAACACCTTTATCCGGTTTACATAATTCAAATTCTCACTAACACCCTAAATCGCATAAAGCGATTTATAAATAAATCGGTCACCTCCTATCCGGTTTTAAGAGTAATCCGGACAAGCTTTGTCCGGTTTATACTTAATCCGGTCACCCCTTGTCCGAATAAAATCTCAATCGGATAACTGATTTCTTCCAATAATAAGCAACATTCAAATAAAAACCAGTAACAATTTTTATACAAAAAGGGTTTAGAAATCACTCACCTTTTATACAAAAACTCTGATTTGAAGAAGATGAAAAATAATTTGATTCCACTTGATCTCCGGATAACTTTTCTCTCAAAATTTCTAAAATCTCAAAGAGGCAAGAAAAGTATGCCTCCTCCCAAACCACCATATATATACTTTCCAAGTTTGGAAAGTCGGCTAAACCAGCCAAATCTTCCACACATACATACATGCATATTGATGCATACATATACATATATACATATCACACACACACAAGAATTTTGTCCCCGAATTCCTTTAATCAAAGAGCCATGGATAATCTGCTCTCATTTCTGACTCCAATTCCCAAGTTGCCTCTGGTCCTTTGTGAAACTTCCACTGTACTTTAACCAGACTGATTTCTTTGTTTCTCAACACCCTGATCTTTCGGTCAATCATGGCTTCTTTTCCACAAAGTTCAATTTACTGTCCAGTTTGGCCTCTGTTAATGGTACAGTGAGACTCAGGTCAACTAAACATTTTCACAAATTCGATACATGGAAAGTGCTATGAATCAGACTAAGCTCTTCTGGTAGTTCTAACTGGTATGCCACTGGCCCGATTCGTTTACTTATCTTGAACGGCCCAACATACCTCAAACTGAGCTTACCCTTCTTCCCAAATCTGATGACACCCTTCCATGGCGAAACTTTTAACATCACAAAATCACCTACACAAAATTCAATTSGCTTTCGACGATTATCAGCATAACTTTTCTGGCGATCTTGTGTTGTTTTGATTCTTTCACAAATCTGTTCAATCTTGTCTAAAGTTTCTTGAACAATTTCAAGACCCGTCAACCGCCTTTCACCTACCTCGTTCCAACATAACGGCGTTCGATATTTGCGTCCATACAATACTTTATATGGTGCCGCTTGAATGCTGGAATGATAACTGTTGTTATACGTAAACTCTATTAGTGGCAAATGATCTTCCCATGTGTAATGTTTGGTATAATTATTTTTTATTTAAAAATGTTGAGAGTGTTTATATATATAATGAAGGTGGAGGTATGTAAACTCTATTAGTGGCAAATGATCTTCCCAGTCAATTTCTTGCCAATAAAATTGTTTGCAAAATGAGAAGAAGAAAGGTAACCCCAGTTATCATTATTCTAGCACGGTACATCGCAATAAGACTCTTTTTCCTTAGATTCTCTTAGATGCATAACCTTCTGACAGATTTAACACGCTCCTACCTAACAGAAGAATGTCTCTTCCTAACACAAGAATGCCTCAAAGCTGTTAGAAGGTCATGCATCAAAAAGATATTCTAGTTTGTCCTAAAATAGGTGTCCATGTTTTCTAGTTTGTCCTAATATAAGTATCGACTTTCCAATTCTACCTTTAACTATGAGATGGAGAAATTCATCACTCCCTCTGTTATTAAGGATAAAATTGTCATTTAGTTAATTAAAAAGTATAATAATTACGCACTTCTAAAACTTATGGACATTTATTTTGGGACTAAGGAAGTATCTAATATCTATAACTATGTTATGTGTGGACGATATGTTCAGATTATCATATACATCTTAAGAGTATTGACTAGTTACTACACATTGAATAACTTCATATAACCTTTTTAAGTACTCCCCCGTTCTAAGTTATTTGTCCATATCAACTTTCCGGCCCATTTCACATTATATGTGCACTTTGCACTTTAAAAACTATATACTTACCTCACTTTTCCAAGAACTTTTCTTTTTAAGCTACTTTATCTTTATAATCTCTACATTGTTCAGGGATGTCACTCACACACTGACAATTATATTATCGCATAAAATATCATGGAATATCGACAAAAAGTTTAAAAGGTAGGAAACCAAAGGTTCTCGGTAGTTGATACAGAAGATGATCTGTTGTAACGCACCTCTGCCATGCCAGACCAGAATAACGACACCTCTTTCGACTGTGTAAGTTCCACGTCCTTTATCTGTTTCTTTAACTTCTCTTGGATGCCTTTTTGTACGTATTAAAACAATAAGAAACATGGTTTCGTTAAACAGGTGAATAATTGAATTTTTCAAAGGTCATATCCGTGGATGAGTTTATATCATGTCATCAACATAATATTGGAGCCAGGTGATGGTAATCATGCGAAAAAAGAGGAATGATACAATAACCAGTTACTTAGAAATGTGGTACACAAAGAAGTGAAGGTTAAAGTATCCATTTTTTACCTTGTAACTGTAAAAGAAGAAGAGACTGAATGTATTTCCCATTTATTTTTCTTGAACCTGCTGGAATGCCATAACTAACGATTTCTTTTGCCATATTTAATAATGCCTGCAGAGAGAAGGCGATACATCAACAACGAGCTCCTACGGCCAGCTCTGAAGTCTTGGCTAAAAAATGTGAAATGCTGCTAAATTTGTATATGAAAATTCACAATATTCGAGTTTTGAATGGTACTAGAATAATGGTCATGTTAAGTGTTGACTGATAATTTGGGAATCGAATAACATGATGGTCTTTTGACACCCATAACCACTTGATCAGTCTTTTAGCATCGGATAGTAGACCAGTAACATTCATGTTTTTCTTATTTTCCAACCATCAGCAAAATAAGCAGGCATCCAACAATGCTGAATCATTATTACAAGGCTAATAAAGATCACCAATCAACCGGAATAAATGGTCAATAAGATTCCAAGMTCCTTATACTTATGTTCACCAAATCACCATCAATATAACCTCRTCGTAAAGAGCTGCTACCTAAATCTCAGTGTCACAGCTAAACCAACTGAGGTTTATTAGCACAGACTGGATTCAAGATGATGGGTGCAGTTGCAACATGGATATGAGCCCATTCTGCACTCATTCTGTACTTCTTAAAGTACATAACTWGACCAGATGGCATGAGATTGATGCGGTCTAACTGGAATTACATGTTAGGCATCTCAATCGGCACCTAAATCTAAGGTGAATAGAGGAAAAGCAATGGCTCAAATGAATGATAAAGTGACTATCATCATCAGAATTTATATCACAAGCAAGTGTAAGCAAAGTGTTATCCGAGGTGGGATGAGATGAATGCAGTAATGCATGGGATGAGTGAATATCAGCATACAGTAAAGCYAGTTTATGAAAATRACCCTTACTTWACAATCACAAAAAAGCAATTGAAACTATCCAAATCCACAAACTAAACTGAAAACAAAAGCGGTCTACAGATTGCAGTTGGACAGGTTAGAATTCTACTGATAACCCCCAAATAATCAAGTTCACKAGCCGGGGTTTGTTTACTAAAGAGAGAGGGAAAATACCTATGATCTCAGTAAAATAGTATGTGATGGCAGAAGAAACAGAAAATACAGGTAAAAAATTGTTGCCAACACCTTCTATAAGGGCAAGATTTCAACTGTAAAGGGGATTGAATAATATCGAGCAGCTGTGAAGGGAAGTGGCTGTTAATGATGAGTTGATGCTAAGAGATGGGATCATAACCATATTGGTCCTTCACAATTGAGTACTTCCAGAAATAATCAAATAAGTACCACATTGCATATGTTCTTTCATGTACTGGAGATTCCTTATGGCACCAAGAGTACACATAACGTAAATCGCACAATTATACTACAATTGTTTCAAGTAATAATTCAATTCACAATGACAAAGATACAAAGTCACACAAAAAATTAAGCAAAATYGAAWATGTAAAGCCATACTATCTATTKAAGTAAACATACAATGAGAAATTCATTTACCAAACTCAAGAACACAATGGAGTTAATGAGCATAACCTGAAGCTCAAGTTCAGTGATAGCAAGTTCACTTTTAAATTGAGTGAAAGCATCTTCCCTTACAAGCAACTGCAAATAAAGGTAAATTCAATTATCAGTCAAATGAGTTCCTCTTGCAACAAAATCCAGTAGCTATCTTCGATCTTATTTCCTACAACTTGTCTTAATTACTCAAAAAGTTGTCCAATATCTAAAAGAAACTTCAGCTTGAACCAACTCAGAGAGACTAATGGAGGCAACATAAACTGCAGAGAGACAAGGATGGAGAAAATAGTTATAGCTTGCTTCTGTCCTTGGTCAATTTTGGAATGACGCTGTTCATACACAACATTTGCTCTTCATTTTAATTAGCACATTTCTCACCTATTTGAACTTCCATATGTGTGTGGTGATGTGTATATGTGATACCAATGACTTATTACCATTCAATGACTCTTCCTGAAGATAAAAAGGTGGGTTGTGAAATTTTTCAACAAGGAGAAAAATTTGGAGAAGTCTGCAGTATCTGTGTCAGAACGTCCTCCAGAATTGAAGCCAACAATGCAGAAGTGCACCCATCTGGCATCTCCAGAAGAGACTTGACAACTATAAGGAGGGGGAGTCGGCTGGAGACACCACCCACCCTTAATATTATATATATAAATTTTGGTCTAGATGAAAAAGTTTACACACTCTCTTTAAGAGGAAAGTCTCCTTTTGTTCATCATCTGGAATGGCAGAAAGAAGAAGAAGAGAATTCAAAACTCGAATTTCTGTTTCAAGGTGAGTGTATTACACTTTTAAGTATAATTGCTTGTACGCAATTCATTGCTATTTGCTCTATTATGGATCTTGAAATATATTGTGCGGACTTCATCCTAAACCGAAAAAGTGGTGTCCGGAATTTACCTTAAACCGATTGAGTGTTTTCCGGATTACCCCTAAACCGGACAGGGGGCATCCGGATATGCCCTAAACCGCCCAAGAGGCCATCGGATTCTCCTTAAACCAGGTGAAAGATGACCGGATATCTCTTAAACCGGACAAAGGGTGACCGAATATTCCTGTAAATCGGACAAGTATCGATCGGGGTTCTACCTAAACCGCTCAGAGGTCACTCAATATAACTAAATCGCTCAAAGCTTCCTAGTGTTGTCCGTATTAGATCTCCGTATGATTGTCCGGATTACACAACCGGCTATTTCTAGCTTGAAACTCCTTCTGATTTAAACTTGCTTACCCTGAGAGAGATGAAATGGCGGTGTAACCGCGAGAGAGATGTAATGGCGACGTAACCGCGAGAGAGATGTAATGGCGGTGTAACCGCGAGAGAGATGAAATGGCGGTGTAACCGCAAGAGAGATGAAATGATGGTGTAACCGCGAGAGAGATGTAATGGCGGTGTAACCACGAGAAAAATAAATAAATGTTTGTATCTATACAGGTTTGATTCTAAACTACTAAGTTTGGAAGATATGTTATTTGTATGAGATTTGTACTCACTAGACCTTTTGGGTCTAATGCTCAGTTGTTGGACTAACCGGTTTTGCAGGTCAACATACCTCGCAGGATGGATAATGGCAAGAGAAAAGTGTAGAAATGATAAAATTTAGTTGTTCCCAATTGTATTGAAGAAAGTTTTTGTTAGTTCGTATTTTGTAAACAATATTACATTATGTGTTATGAGTAACATCATATGGATTATCTGTATGTGGAAATTGTGGGTCATTACAGCTGGTATCAGAGCCTTAGTTTAAGGGATTGGGTATTTGCGAAATACTTAGACTTAAACTAGAGGTGTGGAAGTTATGATAATAGGTTTCATTGGGACTATGAACATGGGGAATATGTTATAGCTGAACCTATTATGAGAAAAATAGATTATATATGACTGATATAATCTAAGTTATGGATACACTTGAGGATAAACGTGTTATTATGTTTTGATTATGTGAATAATCATATGTGTTTAAATGTACAGAAAGAGACATACACTGAAAATGGCAGATAATCCAAATCAATCGGAAAGGTCCTCTATCGGTTATGGAAGAGGTCGGTGAAGAAGAAACGTAACACAAGAAGAGGACCTATAACATGTAATAACAATAGAAACGCGAATTCGCAGCAGAGGTCGAGGAAGAGGTAGAGGTACTAAACAAGAACAGGAATTGTCGGTCCAAGAAAGTTCAATGTCTGGTCGTGGTAGAGGAAGAGCAAGGGGTGAACACAATGTTCCTGATCCCGGATTTATTACCCAGGAAATGCTGGCAGTAGAGTTGGGAAAGTTCCAAGAAAATTTGGTGAACTTGTTGGGACATACAGCCCAAAATAATCCAGAAGTAGTAAGAAATCCCGATTATCAAGAGGAAGCCGGAGCTAGTACCCCGATAACTGGTACATCTGTACCCCTTACTTTGTCCTCAGTACAGAAAGGAGGAGATTACAGAAAGGAGGAGATATCAAGTTGTTTCTTGCCTGTAAACCTCCTAAATTTTCTTGGGAGCGTGACCCTGTTAAAGCCATGTGCTGGCTTAAAAAGATAGAGTTGAGTCTGCAAATTAGTAAAAGTGCAAAAGAGGACAAAGTCATGTTGTTGTATCCCGTCTGAGGTCAAGTGCTTTGTACTGGTGGGAAGTTCTGTCAAGTTCAGATCCAAACATTTTGAAAACTATGTTATGGGAAGAATTTGTGGTCAAGTTCAAAATACAGTATTGTCCTGAAGCGGCAGTACGAAAGTTAGAAGATCATTTTTCTTCGTCTTGAACAACGAAACTTGTCAGTTCGCCAGTATACAGAAGTTTTCATGGAACAATCTCAGTTTGCTAATAGCCTATATCATATCTGAAAATAGTAAGGTAAGAAAGTATATCTGGGGTTTGGAGGCAAATCTTCGGAAGTATGTGATATCCAAGAATCCGACAACGTTTCAAGCAGCAGTTGATGCTGCTGAAATATTGGAGCAAGACATTAACTGCAACCACAAGAAAAGGTTGGTGAGAAAAGAAAGGGGGAGGCTACAATGACTGATTTTCGTAGACCGAGGTTTATGGAAAATTAGAATCGACTAGTCCCAAGGTTTGCTGATAAGGCATGTACCCGATATCACAAAATACATAAGGGAAACTGCAATACAAAGTCACGAGTATGTTTTAAATGTCAGGAACCATGACATATAGCTCGAGACTCTCATGTAACACGGAGATGTTTTACTTGTAATTCATCTCAACGTGTAAACGTTGATTTTCCGCAAGCGAAGGGACGAGGTTCTGGTTTTGCTGGAGGTCGAGGATCTGGATATTCTGGGGGCCGAGGATCTGGTTATGTGCCAACAGGTCATGGGCAAATGGATAATCGTGTTAACCCAAGTGGTTGGGGAGGGATAAGACATGGAGAGTCAAATACTAAAGGGAGAGCCTTTTAGATGACGAGAGGCGAGGCGGAAGAGCACCCTGAAGTGGTGACAGGTACATTCCTTGTTAATTCAGTATGTGCCAAAGTTTTATTTGACTCGGGTGCAAATCGTTCTTTTGTGTCACCATCGTTTGTTAATTGCGCACATTTAGAATCTAAAGCTTTAAGTGAGGATCTAATTGTGGAAACAGCAAACGATAGTGAAGTTTCGATTAAGAAAAGAATAGATGAATGTTTCATAAGTATAGAAGAATGTGAGGTGCCTATACAACTATTTCCTTTGCCTTTAAGGGACTTTGATACAATTATAGGCATGGATTGGTTAGCTAAAAACCAAGCAAACATAGTTTGTGATGAGAAAATGATCCATATAGACTTACCGGAAAAAGGAAAAGTTGTGATTTATGGGGATCGATGGGATCGTTATTCTGTTTTAAAGGCTCGAAAGTATATTCAGAAGGGATGTGTTAGTTTTCTTGCATATGCTATAGATATGAAGAAATAAAAGGGAAACATGGAAGATATCTCAATCATGAGAGAATTTCCTGAAGTGTTTCTAGAAGATTTGATAAGTCTACCTCTAGATCGAACGATAGAATTTCAAATTGAATTACTTCCTGGAGCAGCACCTGTTGCACGTGCACCGTATAGATTAGCTCCTTCTGAGTTAAAGGAGTTAATGTCTCAATTAAAGAATTGTTGGATAAAGGTTTTATCCGACCAAGTACTTCCCCGTGGGGTGCACCGGTACTTTTTGAGAAAAAAGAAAGATGGATCAATGAGAATGTGCATTGATTACCGGGAGTTGAATAAATTGACAATCAAGAATAAGTATCCTCTCCCAAGAATTGATGATTTGTTTGATCAATTGGTTGGGGCTACTTATTTTTCAAAAATTGATTTACGGTCCGGTTATCATCAATTAAAGATTCGGAATGAAGATGTGTCGAAAACAGCATTCCATACACGTTATGGTCATTACGAATTTCTGGTTATGCCATTTGGACTCACAAATGCGCCTGCAACCTTTATGGACATGATGAATAGGGTATGTCATCCCTATCTTGATAAATTTGTGATTGTCTTATTGATGATATTTTGATATATTCTCGGTCGGAAGAAGAGCATGCACATCATTTGGGATTACTTCTGGAATTGTTGAAACAAGAGAAATTGTATGCCAAGATGTCAAAGTGTGAATTTTGGCTGCGAGAAGTTCAGTTTTTGGGACATGTTATCTCAAAAGAAGGCATTAAAGTAGATCCACTCAAGATTGAAGCCATTGAAAGGTGGGAAGCCCCAAAGACTCCAATTGAAATCAGAAGTTTTCTTGGATTGGCTGGGTATTATCGTAAGTTTATACAAGATTTATCTCGTATAGCTACTCCGTTAACAAACTGACCAAGAAGAATGTGAAATATGAGTGGAATGAAGCACAAGCCCAGGCCTTTAAGATGTTAAAGGATAAGTTATGTAGTGCACCAATTCTATCTTTGCCAGATGGAATGGAAGATTTTGTGGTATATAGTGACGCATCAAAGATGGGTTTGGGTTGTGTACTAATGCAACGTGGAAAGATAATAGCCTATGCTTCCAGACAGTTAAAAGATCATGAAAGACAATATCCTACTCATGATATGGAATTGGCGGCGGTTCGCTTTAAAAATATATAGGCA